TCCCTGTGCTCATTTTGCAACGATGTGCTCACCCAATTTTTGGACTGCAGGCATTTTTGTTAAGGAGTACGAAGCTAAAAAAAAGAAAATTCTTTCAAAGGAAGTTGGAAATCCCTTTAAAGAACCACCACATCTTCATCTTTATCTGTCTCAAGAAACAAGATTTTTTACTTCTGCTTTCCTATCAGAATACAAGAGGTTTACAAAGTAAGTTGACCAAATTGTATACTGATAGTTTATCCTTGTCTTCCCATGTTATTGTGTTTACAGAAACTTGGTTAAAACCGGAAGTTCTTAGTTCCGAAGTCTTTCCAAGTAAGTTCACAACGTACAGGCTTGATCGTCCCTCCCGACGTGGAGGTGGAGTTTTAATTGCAGTTGACTCAGAATTAACGTCTGAAGAAATAACGTCCGATGAAATAATGGATATTGAATTTCTGTGTATAAAACTATCCTCTCCGGGTATTTCTATATACATAACATGTTCTTATATTCCGCCGTCATCTGAATTCCCAATATATGCAAATCATCTGTCCGCTATCCAGTTTATTTCATGTATTCTATCAGATAGGGATCAGTTAATAGTTTTAGGTGACTTTAATATACCTAGAGCGACATGGTCCAACGTCGAATATATTGTTACCTTCAACGCAGCATGATTTTCTTGATGGTTTGCTTGATATTTCATTGTCTCAAGTAAACCATGTTCTAAATTCGTTAGGACGATTACTGGATCTATGCTTTGTTTCAAGTCCAGATTGTGTCTGCAAACCTCTGCAATTACTTTACCAGAAGACCCATATCACCCAACGCTAGAGCTGACTGTTGACACGGGTACAAAATTAATTGAAATATGTGAAAAGTCAGCTCAACGCATCCCCTGCTTCCGTAGAGCAAACTTTGCACTTATCAATAGCCTTATCGCTTGCTCGGATTGGTCTAATCTGTACTTATGTACTAATATGACTGAAGCTGTTAATATATTTTATAATGTATTAAACGCAGTTTTTGATACATGCGTACCTAGGTATTATCCTAAAATGTCTAGCCAACCTCCGTGGTTTAGTAAAGAGTTGTCACGACTTAAAAATGTGAAGTCTAGACTCTACAAAAAGTTTAGAGCTTCCGGATCACAAGCTGCCTTTTCCCGATACTTAAGTGCTTACAAAAACTATTTAGCTCGTTGTAAGACGCAGTTTACACTGGATCTAAAACAGTTTTATAATTTTGTTAACACAAAGCGTAAATCTTCAAGTTACCCATCAACCCTAAAATTTGAAAATTCCGCCGCAAAAACTGATCAGGCCATAGCCGATCTGGAAGGAATCGTTTGTTATCCCGCTTCATAAAAAGGGGAGCAAATTGAACGCATGTAGTTACAGAGGTATTTCAAAGCTATCAGCTATTCCGAAGCTCTTCGAGAACATTATTACACCCCATTTGCAACACAGTTGTAGGTCTCTTATTTCCTCTTGTCAGCACGGATTTATAAAACGTAGGTCAAGGACAACCAACCTTTTGGAGTTTACTTCATTTGTGTTAAATGGTTTTAGAACAAATTGTCAGACTGATGTGGTTTACACTTATTTCAGTAAGGCGTTTGACTCTGTAAACCATCCGATTTTAGTTAGGAAATTGGACCTTTTGGGGTTTCCTGATGCTCTTCTTAAGAGGATCTTAAGTTATTTGAATGTACCACAAGGAAGTCATCTTGGTCCGCTCCTGTTTACATTATTTATAAATTACCTTCCTCTAGTCCTAACGAACTCACGTGTACTTATGTACGCAGATGACGTTAAGTTGTGCCTGCAATTTATTGATCCCGCACAAAGTTTAGCTTTACAATCTGATCTCAATGCATTTCAAACATGGTGCTTGAATAATGGTTTAAATTGAAATGGTTCTAAGTGTAAACTAATGACCTTTTTTCGTGTCAGCCCTTACTATTCAACTTATACTTTGTGTGTGTTGTGTATGCGAAGTGGGCAGCTCTCTACCAGTCAGTCTGTACGCAATCGTCAACCAATGCAGGTCTCCCTGCAGCTGCGGTCAGGCCATCCACTGGCCTTATATCAACTATAACCTCTATCATCACACCGTACATTAAGTCTTGCACTGTTTTATCAACTTGCTATATTGTGAACAAAGTATCTCTAAAGATTATAATATGAAAGACCGATTTTTAGGGGGATACGACCACAGCCTAAACCATAAGAGCTAGAGCAGCCAAATTTTTTTCACAGTATTCCATTGGGGGCGTAGGCGCCCACTAAGGTCCGACATGTCCGACAGCTCCAACATCCATATTTAGAGCAAAAAATCATTAGATTTACTTAAGCTTAGCTTCTAAAGTGGTTGGAATTTCGAAATTTTGATTTTGCAGAATTTAAGGTCTTGAAAGGGCCTAATTAGAAATCTAAAAGAAATTTCGATATCCCCTATAATTTGGGGGTTACATTTAAAATTAACTTTTCGATTTAAAAAATCTAAACCGCTGCTCCGATCAAGATGAGTTTTGGCTCAATAGTTATTCTATGGCCCAATTGCTTAAGTTTAATTTTTTAAATTTTTAACATTTTTTAAAGTATTTTTAACGAATTTATTTAGATTTCCTAAGTTATTGCGTTGCATTTTGTGGGAGCCTGCCGAGAGAGCGAAACCCAGAAAGCGGATGGCAAGAGAGCGACGGCCGAGAGAGCAGCAGCCAAAAAAACTGTCGTGGGGTAGGGGTAGTGCTGTGTGGAAGGGGGAGGGGAAAAGGGCAATTTTAATTAAAATTTGTTTTGAATTTTAAAAACTTTAACTGCTGTTCCTATCAATATGATTTTCGATCAATAGTCAGTCCTGTGGATCAAATGCTTAGGTTTTATTTTTCAAAAAAATATTTTTCATTTTGTAGCAGAAGTAAGAGCCTTATTTAATTTCCACCATGGAAAAAGATAAAAAATTACTACAAATTCTGTAAGCAAAGCCAAAATGTTTCCAAGTTAAATATCTTAAGATTCGAACTTTTGCCCAAATACGTATGTATATTTGGATATGTTTTGATTTGTACAATACATGTACAATACAATACATACACACAATGTGTGTTTATGTTTCTACTTGAAAGTCGATAATGTGCTCAAATACAAATAAAATTATTCATTTCCTTTCAGCTAATGCAAAATTTGACGAGTTTAATTTTAATAATTATCAATCAAATGTGGAATCAGAAAATAAAAAGTTACTTCGCTACTTTTGTGTATACCTACAAATGTTTTCGTTTCATTCAAAACCACAAATTTTAAAACAACAAATTACAATTTACAAACAAGTATACATATTTGTGCGCAAATTAAAATTGCATTGATAACATTGTAACTGATAAAAAAAATATACAAGTTCACCACTTTTACTTGCTTCACATTCATTTATTATATTTGTTTAAGCAATCTGAATTTAATACATGTTTTTAAGGAATCTAAAAAGATGATATATATTTTCATCGACGATTTAACAAATTAATATCGCAAGTATTAGAAGAGGCGTATGCAAAAAATACACTTGCTCTCCTTTGCCACAATTCGATTTTTGGGAGTGAGAAGCAGGCAATTAGAAGAGGCCTATTTTTATTATTATACATATTAAACTTCCTTTGGACTTAGTTAATTTAGAAACACGTAATTGCTCTACTTCAAAGCAATGCAATATGGCTGCGGTGTTTAAAGATTGTAAGTTAATTGTTTGGGATGAGTGCACCATGTCACATAAAGGTGGGCTTGAAGCCATAAATAGAACCCTTCAAGATATTAATGAGAATACTATGTTGATGGGTGGTATTACAGTCCTGCTAGCTGGAGACTTTCGCCAAACCCTTCCTGTTGTGCCACGAGGTGCAAGAGCTGGCCACAGATAAAAAAACTAGCGCTCACGAAACAGTTGATGGAAAAATAGTTATAACGCTTAGGAAATGTAGTCAAAAACGTTCAAGACCTTACATTCAAAATATTTCCTGACATTTCTAACATATCAAGTAAAAGCTTAGATTGGCTATCTGAGCGCGCCATTTTGACAACGAAAAATGAAAGAGCAACTACTATTAATAATTTATTGCTAAACTCATTTGATGGTTTAGAAGTCTCCTATAAATCGGTCGACTCTGTTCCTGATGCTGATAATGCTGTTCATTACCCTTTTGAATTTTTAAATTCTTTGAATCCTCCAGGAAGTCCTCAGTATAATCTGTCTCTTAGGATTGGAGCACACGTAATGTTATTGCAATATTTAAGTCCCCCAAAGATATGCAATGGGACACGATTGCAGATAAAAGGTCTTCATAAGAATGTAATTGAAGCAACAGTATTTACGGGATGCGCGAAGGGGGAAACAGTGTTTCTACCCAGGATCCCATTAATACCATCCAGTCTGCCGTTTCAGTTTAAAAGGTTACAATTCCCTGTAAAAGTTTGGTTTGCAATAACTATAAGTAAATCGCAGGGGCAGACTTTAAAGCTGGCTGGACTAGATCTTAGAGAAGATTGTTTCTCTCATGGACAATTTTATGTCGCGTGCTCTAGAGTTAGCTCTGCCAGTAGCCTTATTATTCTGGGTCCTAAAGGATCTTCTAAAAATGTTGTTTACACAGAAGTTTTAAAGTAATCTATTAATTAACATTATTAAACCAGAAAGATTCAGTGGAATTGGTCTAATTGGACCTCAGGGGTGGTGTGGAAATGGAAAGTCTTGACAACCGTACTCAAAACTAATTTTAAGCGAACGAAGTCGCGCCGGGTACAGCTAGTTAAATATATATGCTTGCGCATACACAAAATTGGCGACGAGGATGGGATTTCACTAAGCGTGTGAATAACTGTGCAAGTCTGAGTCCAAGTTAGATTACAACAGCAAGAACGAAGAGAAGGGGAAAAGAGAACAGCAAAGAACGGTATCGAACAGAATAACTCCGCCGATATTTCAGCTCAGCGGCCAGAGCTTCTGTATTTTCTTTACTTGTACAGATGGACAAGAAGATAACTGTGAAACAATCTGAAAAGGAAAACGCCGATAGGGTCAAAGAAGAAGAAGAATCCGACGATAGACTGGAATCAGAAACGAAAAAGCGTGTGTCAAGTATTATTATGGCTTCTGTTGGAAGTCTGGAACCGTTTGACTTAACTACTCCCTCAAAATGGGTTGCCTACAAGGAGCGTTTCGAACTGTATTTACTGGCCAACGACATCGAAGATGAATCGCGGAAGAAAGCGGCGTTTCTCACACTGGCCGGAGCGCCATTGTACGAACTTCTTACGTCACTGGCATCTCCCAGGCAAATCAGCGAGTCGAAATTGTCAGAAATATACCACGTCTTAACCGCTCATTTGTCTCCTCGCCCATCCGAAATTGCTGCGTTCTATCATTTCCATAATCGGGACCAGCATTCGGACGAATCAGTGGGGGCGTACATGGCGGCCTTGCGGAGTTTGGCTGTGGACTGCATATTCGGAAGCGCCCTAGATCGAATGCTTCGTGATCGTTTTGTTTGCGGAATGCGGGATGAAGGCCTGCAAAGAACAGTGCAGCGGGTTTTGGAGCGAGCTGTAACGAGTGAGGCAACAGCCATCAGTGCCTTATCTATGCGGAAACAAAGTGATTCCCACTCAGATCCAAACGCTGAGTCCATTCATGGCATTCGCACAAGTCGTAATTTAAAGCCACGTACATCAGTCGTACCCGAAGGACCTTGCGCGGGCTGCGGAGGCCAACACATTCGCAAGAAATGCCCTTTCCGCAACGCCACCTGCCACGGCTGCGGTCGCACCGGCCATATACAAAAGGTGTGTCGCAGCGCTCCTCAAACACGGTCTTCAAGTTACGGGTCTCCAACGCCAAGTTCCCGATCGAACCGAAATGGGACATCTCGTGTAAACCAGATATTGCCGCTGGTCAGCCAAAAGAAATCAGTCTCAATCGCAATCAACGGCCGTACTTGCGTATTTGAAGTAGGCTCTGGATCCCCGGTGACCATTATGAAGGAATCGACGTTCAGGTACATCTGGCCAAACGAAAAGCCAGATCTAATGTCATTTAGAACTTAATCCCGGTCAAGGGGATAACTGATACAACCATTCAGAACGAAAACTTGCCCCTGATCGTAGTCTCTGGAGTCGGAGTCAACCTATTAGGCTGTAACTGGTTCGAGCCTTTAGGGATCCGTATCAAAGGAATTCATTCACAAAATGGAAAACGGAATGGAAAAGCCAATAGCATTTTATTCACGAACGTTGTCTAAGGCAGAGCGGAACTATTCACAAATCGACAGAGAGGCGGTCGCACTAATTTCCGGCGTTAAAAAGTTCCATAACTACCTGTATGGCCGTCCATTCACCTTGAGCACAGAACATCGCCCGCTTCTAGGCATATTTACCGCATCAAAGGCAGTGCCAAACATCATTTCGAACCAAATGCTGAGACGAGCCATTTTCTTGAGTGCATACGATTTCACTATCATCCACCGTCCTGGAGCAAAAATAAGTAATGCCGATTTTTTGAGCCGTTGCCCGATATTGACCGAACCGCAAACATCTACCAAGGAGGACGTTTTAATGATCGAATGGGCATCCCAACCTATTGTCAGCGCACAGTCACTCGCCTCGCATACTGCCAAGGAGCCAGTCCTTAGGAAAGTACTTAGCTGGGTGCTAAGGGGGTGGCCCAGTACCAAAATTAATCGAGCCGATGATCTGTACCCATACTTTATGCGACGGGACGAGTTATCAGCTAACAAGGGAGTCTTGGGACATCGCGCCTTAATTCCCACGACTGATCGGAAAGAGATCCTAGCCGCTCTTCACGCGCATTATCCTGGAATCGTAAAAATGAAAGCATTGGCGAGGAGCTACGTTTGGTGGCCAAATATCGATGCGGATATCGAGCTCACAGTTAAGCGCTGCCAAGCCTGTCAGGAAACTCGAAATGAGCCGCACAAATCGGAAGTACACTTTTGGGAATCTACTAAGAAACCTTGGTCGCGTCTTCATGTTGACTTTGCAGGACCGTTTCAAGGCAAGGTGTTCTTTTTGGTTGTTGATTCTTTCTCAAAGTGGCTCGAGGTTAGCGTTGTCAAGTCTACATCAGCAGCCTGCGCCATCGCGTTCCTTCGCCAGCTTTTTGCTACTCATGGAATTCCGGACGAGTTGGTTTCGGATAACGGAACCGCGTTTACATCTGATGAATTTAAAAAATTTATGAGCAACAACATTATTTGCCATATCCGATCGGCACATTTTCACCCGGCGACCAATGGGCGAGCTGAGCGGATGGTCCAAAGCACAAAAGGATTCTTAAAGAAGATGGAACGAGATACTGACATAAATCTAGCCCTGGCCCGATATCTGTTCAGCCAACATTGCACACCGCATTCGACAACGGGACATTCGCCAGCAGAGTTGCTCCTGAAGCGGGAACTAAAATCATTTCTTGATAAGATTCAGCCAAACGAAATCGTATTGGGTAAGGACTCTGAACCAGTCAATAAGAAGAGTTTTGTTACAGGTAGCCCAGTCTGGGTCAGAAACTATTCAAGCGGCCGGAAATGGATTGAAGGTCGCGTATCGGAGCAAACTGGACCTATATCTTACACAGTGGACCTCGATGATAGCCGTGTGGTTCGACGTCATCTAGACCAGCTTCGAGCTCGCGAACCTACTACCCCGTCTTCGTTTTCTGACGACTCTTTCCCCGTTCCACACCCAGTATCACCGTCGATGGGTCACGCCGTAAACACAGAGAACTCGCCAGCGCGACTAGCGTCAGTTTTGGAGCCGATCCAAGCGGAAGTGACATTAAGTCTTGCACTGTTTTATCAACTTGCTATATTGTGAATAAACTTTTAAATATATATGCTTGCGCAAACACAAAAATGTGTTAGATAGAATAACGCATGCTGACGACCTTGGAGACTATATGGATCCTAAACTTAAATTTTCTGATCACATTACTACGATGGTAAATAAAGCCAGGGGCGTGCTCGCATTTATCAAAAGGTGGTCGAAGGAATTCGATGATCCCTGTGTCACAAAAACTTTGTTTATTTCATTAGTCCGATCACTTCTTGAGTTCTGCGCTCCAGCTTGAAGTCCCCAATATGGGGTGCATATAGACCAAATTGTGTCTGTGCAAAAAACTTTTTAATATTTGCCGTAAGGCACCAAAAATTGCCCTAAAAAATACAAAGATTCAAACGAAAATTTTAAGACGCAATAAATGGATATATACATTTAAAACATGTTATGTAGGGGAGAGTGGGGTAATTTCGTCACAGGGGCAAATTCGTCACCTGCAATATCTCGGAATAAGATACAGTTTTTTTATATAATACACAGTGTTATAATGTGCATTTCTGCGTTAGTGATTGTTAACTTCGCGCCTAATTTCGGAAGAAAAATAATTATTTCTAAAAAAGTACTGTGTGGGGAAATTTCGCCACCCTACGCTAGGGGTAAATTCGCACCTATTTTAAATACATATTTTTATATTTGACGAGCTGGCTAACGAACAGACTACCAGCAGCAGCAACAAATATAGGACGTCAACAAAAATGGTACGCTTGATCCGTGTAGCATACTTACAGGCGTAAAGTTCCCTACATTTTTCAGGTGACGAAATTGCCCCGGTGATGTGGTGATTTTACCCCTTGTGTGGCGAGATTGCCCCAGTATATTGGTTTTACTTTTTATTTTTTATAAATCACCAAGGTAATTAAAACAAGAGAGAACGCTATAATCGGGTTTCGATAGGTATTGATAAACACCATAAAACTGCATTTTTACTTTTCCGAAATATTGAAATTTTAAAATTCTCATATAAGCGATTGTGGGCGTTAGAGGGGGCGTCGCACCCTTTTGGAACAAACTTGCGCTGCGTAGGAACTCCTAAAATCTGTATGCAAAATGTCAATCTTATAGCTTTTATAGGTTCCGAGATCTCAGCGTTCATACAGACAGACAGACGGACAGACGGACATGGCTAGATCGACTCGACTAGTGATCCTGATCAAGAATATATATAGTTTATAGGGTCGGAAACGCTTTCTTCTACCTGTTACATACTTTTGCACGAATCTAGTATACCCTTTTACTCTACGAGTAACGGGTATAAAAATAGGGGAATGTCACATTTTAAAGCTTGGTGCTAGCCGCAATCAACAATAAAAAAAGAAATATGATAACGTGTCTCAAGATGGACAAAAAATAGCTTTGAAAAAATGCTGACGAAATTGCCACACTCTCCCCTACATGTGTGTGTAGTTGACAGGTCAAACAAGTGAGTTAGAATGGGTAGCCCAGGTCGTGGGTTCGATTCCTGGCTGAGTCAACACTTTTTATTATTTTTTTTATTAGAGTTTTTATTACTTATTAAGTTTTTTCGTCCTCATGTAAAATTTAAAATAGTCTTAAAACCCCTAATACATATGGAAATTCTGAGTTTAAAGACTAATTTATTTTAAGCATGCGAAGAAAAGGCCCGAAGTATCCCAGCCATCAGCAAAAAAATACAAGTTTTTGTTTGCATAACTTAGACCGCAAGAAAGTAAGATGTGTACAGTGTTTGTAGCCGTGGGTTCGATCACCTGTGAAAGTTGAAAAAATGTTTCATTTCTGGCGATTTTTTGTTTTAGCTAGATTTTATTTACTTAAAAAAAATACAAATAAAAATGTAAAAATTATTATGAGCTTTCAGATCTAAATGCATTTTTTAGCGAAACAACCCATTTCTAAAAATGCTACTCTCCTGGTGCGCTTCGTCACTACATGAACTGCCGTCCATAGTGATTTAAGCCGGCTACCTAGCTGCTACCTGGCTGCTTTTGTTAGTTATGTTTTTGACATATGAACCGAAGTTTATTGGTCTCATGGTTTTTGAGATCTGTTAGATTTTATAAAAGAAGTGCCGAAAATCTGGATTTTTGCAAATATCTTCAGAACGGTTCTTTGGAATTTTTTTTAATTTGTTCAGCGTGATCAGCAACTCAAAACTAATAAAAAGAAGAGAGAACGCTATAGTCGGGTTGGTGTCTGGACTATCTAATACCCGTCACTCAGCTAAAGGGAGTGCAAACGCTGTACTCGGGTTGGTGTCGCGACTAATAATCGTAACTCAGCTAAAGGGAGTGCGAGGGAGATAGATATATATTGACAATTTTGAATGAGTATAACTTTTTAATGGATGGTCCGATTTGAAAAATGTCTTCTACATTTCGATAGATATAAATATACACAACAAAATTGCATTTATTCTTCTCGGAAATCTGTAAAGATGTGGGTGCAGGACCCATTTTAAAATCGTTAGTTAAAATCGTTAGTCGCTGAAATAAACTTGCGCTGCGGGTATAAAAAGCTGGTCTCAATGTTTATCTTTTTTTGCTGTAAACTAGTGTAATCTGTAACGATGTTCGTGTGCGTGTATGTGTGTATGTGTTAAGTTCAGTTCCCAGGAAATATTAACACCAAAAGTCGTGATTGCAGACAAATTTGATGTAACTATGTAAAGCATTAAATATTACACAATCTGATTTCTGTTTTTTTTTGTTCAATCATTAACATTTTCCGCACCTCCATATTTTATCGGCAATCAAAGAATTGGACAAATTAATTTAACTGTCTGCATCTGCTGGCTCCTAAATAAATCAAACAAAAACACCTCTTAACGAGGTAAAAAACTAGTGGCGATCGCACCTTCAACATACAAGTTCTGATATCAACATTTGTGACGAAAAATTATTACTTTCGTCATCACATACACTTTCTAAAATTTTCTGATTCAATTTATAGCATTATAGCATTTAAAAATACCTTTCAAACGAGATGCAGCACAAGTCTGTAGCTTTAGTAGTATAGAATTTACTGCTTTCTGAATGTTAGCTATTTATAGCTGTTTTCCTGCAAAACTAGCGGGATTTTCCAAAAGTGGTAGAACAAAAGTTTTTTATATCGATGTGATGAACGTCATATCAAATTTTCAGTACTTAAAAAACATATTTTGGACAAACTGACAAGCGGACAAACTGACCAACAGAATTAAATTTTCATTTTGACTAGGCCTTTGCAAATTTGTTTTCGGTATAACTTTTGAACGGAGCGTCCGATTTTCTCATATGACCCCTTGTTCATGCAAAGCACGAAGGCCAATACGGCAATTTATTTCCAACTAATAATTCGGACAGACCAGAATAGTACTTGTAGACACTTTCGTTTCCAAATTGAGAGTGATCCAATCACATTTATTCAAACTCTTCTAGAGCCATTATATGAGTTTCAAAGTTAAAATAGTGGTTCTCGCGAGTGCGAGGGAGCGAAAGCTCTTTTTAATACGAGAGGGAAAGTTCGACTTCATGAGATCTTAGGTACTAATTGTTACATTCTTTTACAAAAGTAAATCGCCACCGAATTGACTGAACATCGGCCGCGTTGACAGCATTAACATACAAATGCTTCAACTAATAGGAATAGGTGCAAGGCGGTGAATGGAGCGTTTATATAGACCCGATTTGGTTCTGACTATGGCCACGCGAACCTTCCCATCATGTCCTGGAACGACCTCTACGACTATGCCTATTATCCACAGCTGGGGGGGAACGTTGTCTTCGTGGATTGCCACCACTGTTCCGATCTGAAGATTGTCCACGCCTTTGGTCCATTTCCCTCGCTGCTGTAGGCTCAAAAGATAGTCCCTTGACCAGTCGCTCCAAAGCCGCTGTTTGATTGCTGAGACTAGCTGCCATCGGCAGCGTTGCTAGCGTTGTGCCTACTAGCAGATGAGCTGGCGTGACAACCTCTACCTCGTTGGGACTGCCACTGTCTACGATGAGCGGCCTCGAATTTAGGACGGCTTCCACTTCCACTATGACGGTATGGAGCTCGTCCTCCTTCAGAATAGCTCTGGCCATGGCTCTGAGAAGAAGATGCTTGGCCGATTTTACGGCCGCCTCCCAAAGGCCGCCTATATGTGGCGCTCTGGGAGGGATGAATTCGATGGTAAATCGGTGGGCCGCAGCATACGACATGATGCTCTGGTCGTTGGTGTCGACAGGTTCCAAAAACTCCTTCAGGATTCGAGCAGCTCCCACAAAATTCGTGGCGTTGTCGCAATAAAGTTTGACAACAGGACCACGACGACCCACAAACCTGGATAAGCATAAAATAAATGTATTAGACGTCAAATCTTTCACAATTTCCAAATATACAGCCTTGGAAGCAAAGCAGACAAACACTGCTATGTACATCTTGATTGGCTGCTTTCCCCGAATTCCAAGTGAGACTTTAACAGGCCCAAAGAGATCCACTTACTTCAAAGGGTCTATTTCCATGCAATCGATCTCTTGGTAAATTACCCATTATCTGTGATAGAAGTTTTGGTTTATAGTGAAAACAATGAACGCACTGCCGTACAATGGTACTGCACCCATGACGTGCGTTAATAAGCCAAATCACTTGTCTGAGAAGCCCAACCAACGACCGTGGACCCGCGTGACAGTTGGTTCTATGTAAGTGTCTCAAGTATAGGGTCACAAATTTGCAATTTTTAGGCATTAACAAGGGAAATTTAGCATTGTGAGCAAGGGGGGCATGTAGAAGACGACCACATACTCGCAACAAAGAATATGACGACGTTCCAGACTGTTC